TTTTTATCTTAAAAAAATATTCTCATTGATTAAATAAAAAAATTATAACAAAAGAAATAAGGAAGCCTCGAACTTGAGACATGAATCAAGAATTTCTAACTCATCAACCAACTGAGCCAATAAATATTATTGTAAATTACTCCATAAAATATGATTAAATCAAATATTTATGATTAAGGGCATAAAAGGATTTTAACTAAATTAAAGTATATATCAGCAAACTTAAATAATAAAGGTATAGATGGGCAAACTTAAAAAAAAACATCTTTTATTTTCAATTTTCCCAAGAAACAAAGTACGTTTTTTCAAATAAAAATTTATTGAAAATATTAATGTTATATTAGTTAGAGATTTAATGGATTTCTAACCATTGGAGATGGCTTTAACGAAACAAATATTAGATATATTTTGAGTTGAAAATAAGTCATTTTGATTTTTCAAAAGAAAAAGAAAAACTTTGTTTCAAAAAGATACCGGACTTTTTTGTGTTGAATGAAAAACAGTAATTAAAGTAAAAGCTCTTTTAATAATATTTTTTAAAAATGAGTCACAGAGAAGTCTTCTGAGTGTAATTGTCAAGAATCGAAATGAGTACTGTTCCCGAATCTAGTGGCTCTTTGTCGCTTAGCTTTAAGCCTACACCGACACGTCTGTAAAATCTTCTGACGTACGAGGCTTCGTGTGTTTTTTAATATTATTATTATCTTTGCAAATCTAAGATCTTTTATTATTAATAACAAGACATTTAACACATATTTCGGACCTTGGTGAAGGTGAAAACCGCCCAAAATTTTGTTCAACGATTGTTTATTTGTTTTATGGAAATAAATAAATTGACTCCCGGTTCATTATCTTTCTCAAAGTTGCGAAAAGTATATAAACATGATTTTCTTGTAACTAAAACAAGAGTTATATATTTTATTATAGCCAAAACACTATTCTTAATTTTTTTATTCACCACAAAACAGCATGAGATTTATAGTTTACGGTAAGAGATTTTTTTTTTATAAAAACGTCGAACTATCATGAGAAAAAATGAAACCTCACACTAGGGGTGGGACGATTCCGGATACCCTGAAATTTCAGAGTATCCGGATCCGGATCCGGAATCGTCGAATCCGTGAAAAAACTATCCGGATCCGGAATCGTGACCTCCGGATATCCAGACTCTAGGAATCGTTCCAAAAATCAGGATATCCGCGGATATACGGATCCGGATCCGGATCCGAAATTAATATTAAAAATAATTAAAATAAATAATAAATAAATAAAAATATATTTTTAAAAATTATTAGTTAATATTTTAAATGGTATTTTTTCATTATAAATATAATTTATTATAAAAAGAACTAAAATCAATTTTTG